GTTTCACCATGTTGACCAGGATGGTCTTGATCTCTTGACCTCGTGATCCACCCGCCTCGGCCTCCCAAAGTGCTGAGATTACAGGCTTGAGCCACTGCACCCGGCCTATTTCTTAATTCATGCTCTGTACTGTGTCCACTCTAGGCATTCCTCCGATTATGAACTAAGATATAATTATATATATATATGTAAGCAAATATTTTTTAGGTGCTCATACTATCAACTATTATATGATTATATATAGAGGATTATATAAAGGGATTCTTCAAGCCCTAATTCTATAAAGTAATATATGATTATATAAAGGATTATATAAAAGGAAATAGCTGGTTGGTAACCCTATAAACTGAGATTTTCTTCAAGCCCTAACTGTGCCAGGGTTCTGCTTAGGTCTCCTTCCTAGGTGCCTATATGGGGGGTTATCCACAGCTAGTTTTACAAGTGTGAGCCACCATGCTTGGCCCTAATGCAAAGATTCTCAACAAAATGGTAGGAAAATAAGTTGAACATCTTATTAACAGGGTAATACACTACGACCAAATGAAATTTATTCCTGGAATGCAAGGGTGGTTCAACACACACAAATCAATAAATGTAATATGCCACATTAACCTATTTGCACCTACTTGCTGCAAAACCAGAGGCCCAGGGAAGGGGTCCCTTTAGATTCCATATGAGTTTTAGGATTGGCTTCTCTCTTTCTGCAAAACAAAGTCAGTGGGATTTTGCCAGGGATTGCACTGAATGTGGAGATCACCATAAGGGTGGTAACAACACTTAAGATTAAAGACATTTTTATTAAGGGTTTAGCTAATTGGTATATAACAAATGCTGTATATGGTAGCTTTTATTTTCATCTCCAGAACCTATACCTTGCTAAATACAATATACACTGACCATGTTTTAAGCATGGATCACAGGATCTGAAAAAGTGGAGAATTTACATGTTGAGTATTGCTTTCTTCCAAAAACGGATGAACTCTACTACTTCGTAATGAGCAGCTCCTGTGTGTCTGGTCACTGGGGACGTACAAACAGGACTTGCACAGGACTCGTTGCCTCTGGCGGGAACCACAAAGGAGCAGTCCCGGCCCGGGAGGTGGGTGTGGCCGGGCGGGAACTGCGAGGCTCCGGGAAGCTCCCCTAAGCTCCCACCCAGGGCCCCGCCCTGCCTCGGCTCCAGCCGCCGCCAGGGGCGCTCCCGGCCCAGGACAGCACCGGGCCTGGCGGCTGGGCTCGAGCTCCGTGCACCGACTTGGGGCCGGCAGCAGGGAAGCGGGGATAGGGCGACCGAGGCCGGGACTTCGGCACCCTTCCCGGGGAGTCGCGCAGAGACGGTGCCCTCTTGGCCGCTGCGGGAGCCGCGATGTTTTCGGGGCCGCGGGAGCCGCCGGGTCGGGAGCTGCAGCGGCGCCGGGAGCAGAAGCGGCGGCGGCACGACGCGCAGCAGCTGCAGCAGCTCAGGCACCTGGAGTCCTCGTGAGTCTCGAGCCTCTGCGTCGCGGTCCGCGCGCCGCTCGTCTTCGGGGAACGAAGACTTCGGCTTGGGGCGCCGTGGTGGGCGCTGGGCCGGGTCCTCCAAGCCCCCGGGAGCAGCAGGGGGGCGGGCCCGTGAGGAGCCTGGTGCCTGCGATGGGACTTCAAGTCCTCACTGGGTGGGGAGCGAGGTGGGGGGAACCGTCCGACCTGGGAGGCGGCGGCGCGGGTGGGCGGGGGCTCGGCCCCGGCAGGCGGCAGTGGCTTGCTCTTCTCACCCCCGCTTTGGTGTGGAAGTCGGCTTTTTGGGGGGAGCCCAGAGTTGTTGGCGCTCGCTCGGCGTTTGTGGACCCAACAGGCAAGTCCAGCTGAGCCCGCTGCCCCCGCGTTCCACCCGAGTTCCCTGGGCCACTGCGACGTGGAGAAACCCGGTTCTCCTCATCCTCTGCTATGGAGAGGGGAGAGGACACCGGTCCTGCAGTGTTAGTGTGGCGAGGCGGGGAAGGAGAGAATGGGCGGCGGGGACTGGCCACTGCGCTGCCAGGTAGAACAGAGGTGCACTTGTTCTCTCCAGGCTGGAGCTATTTTTACTAGGGTCCAGGGAGGGCATTTAGGGAGCCAGCTGCCGCTCGGCACCACGCGGAACTCAGTCCCTGATTTGGGAGGCCCTGCGCTCCCGGAGCTCCAGGGAATTCAAGGAGGGTCCAGATGACCTGGGAGAGTGTGGTGTAAAGAAGATTCAGACTTAGGGAAAGGAAATACGGCTTCCCTCTATCCTTCTAGGTTCTTTAGCTGGGCCACAGATTAAATTGTCATAATTAAGCAGGAAAAGGCTGGGAAACAAACCTCTCCAACAGCGAACTGGGAAGGAAGTGGTGATTTATTTGGCCAGAAGCTGCTGAGGCTTAGATGCCTAACAGCTGACTGCCCTAACAAAGAAAATCCTTGCCCTTTTAAAGGCTTACAACTCTAGAAATTACGTGTGACAGGGTCTTGAATCAGAAAGTAGGCATGGGGTACGTGACTTAGGTAGGGGTTTGATCCTAATTAAGTAAAAACAGTGCCTTCTGGTAAGATTTCCCATACCGTATCCGTGAGCTATAGATGGGATTGTGGTTAGCAGTAGAAGTTTTATCCTTAACCTGGCTGGCGGCGCTGAGATGCAATGTAGAAGACTGAAGAGGATTAAGAGTCTCCTTCCTTAATAAGATAGATTAACAGGATACAACTATTTTTACATACCCATGCAGTGGAGGGGCACAAAAGTGGGAGACTGAAAGAAGGGCCAGGGAATAGGGGTGTGGTCCTTTTGGGGGCTTGGTGGAGACAAATTACGGAAGGGTAAGGGGACAAAATGTATGATGAATAAAGGTTGCTTTGTTAGGCTCTCAGGTGATAAAAATTATCTCCAAGCAAGCCGCCTTTCTGATACAGATACCTTTACTCATGGAAATTTCCTTTAAAGATGAAAATTTCTGTTTATAAAAGGAGCGGGAGTCTTTTATTTTAGGCAGTTGTGGGAGAGGTGAAGTTTTCCTGTGTTGGCTGGTTCTCAGTTTCTTTTAGCTCAAAGTCATCAATATGTCAGGGGGCATATTTTGGTGTTAGGGTGGCATATTTTGGTGCGGTGCTTTCTGGTCCCCTGCAGTCATATACTATTGGGGTGGTCTGTCCTGAGCCCCAACCTAAACCTCAGGTGGGAGGTTGCATTAGCAATTCTTTCCCTTCCTTTCAGGTTCTGTAATTATCCTTGGAAGTCAAACTTTTCTAAGTGTTGACCTTAAGGAAAAAACAGAGGCAAAATTAATTAATTTAAAAATTGATATAAGTAGAGAAGTTCTTTGGGGCCAAGTTTGAGAACTGCAATCCAGCAGCATAGGTTCAAGTTGCTCTGAATATATTCTCCTATATGCAGCAGTTACAAGTGGGTGTTTCTGTTTCTTGGGTTTTTTTGTTTGTTTTGCAAGGAAGGGGAGGCTCAAGGAAACTTCAACAAGTGGGTTTATAAAGGAAAAGATGAGGCAGTTCCTAAGTTATTTACCAATTATTTATATTCAAATGACATAGGGATTGATTGGCTATACATTGTTCTTTGTATTACAAATTTCAGGAACAGGAAGATAATGGGTGAGGGAAACCACAGGGATGAAATGAAAGAGCCATGGCTCCTAGGGCATGGGTTGGGTGGTACATGATGAAGTCCCATATTCCTGTCTTTCTTGGCCTGATTTTTTTTTTTTTTTTTTTTAGATGGAGTTTCTCTCTTGTTACCCAGGCTGGAGTGCAATGGCGTGATCTCGGCTCACCGCAACCTCCGCCTCCTGGGTTCAGGCAATTCTCCTGCCTCAGCCTCCTGAGTAGCTGGGATTACAGGCACGCGCCACCATGCTCAGCTAATGTTTTGTATTTTTAGTAGAGACGGGGTTTCACCATGTTGACCAGGATGGTCTTGATCTCTTGACCTCGTGATCCACCCGCCTCGGCCTCCCAAAGTGCTGGGATTACAGGCTTGAGCCACCGTGCCCGGCAGATAAATTTTGTGCCTCACATAGTTCAGACTGGTCTGAGCTATTTTTGTTTGATCATTTCTCCCTTTGTTCAAAATCTTTCTCTTCGGAAAGTGTTACTGGAAAGGGATCCTGATCCGGACCCGAAGAGAGGGCTCTTGAATCTCACACAAGAAGGAATTCAAGGCGAATCCATAAAGTGAAAGCAAGTTTATTAAGAAAGTAATGAAATAAAGAATGGCTACTCCATAGAGCAGCCCCAAGGGCTGCTGGTTGCCCATTTTTATGGTTGTTTCTTGATTATATGCTAAACAAGGGGTGGATTATTCATGCCTCCCCTTTTTAGTCAATATAGGATAACTTCCTGATGTTGCCATGGCATTTGTAAACTGTCTTGGTGCTGTTGGGAGTGTAGCAGGAAGGACGACCAGGGGTCACTCTCGTGGCCATCTTGGTTTTGGTGGGTTTTGGTCAGCTTCTTTACTGCAACCTGTTTTATCAGCAAGGTCTTTATGACCTGTGTCTTGTGTCATCCTCCTGTGTCATCCTATGACTTAGAATGTAATGCCTTAACCATCTGGGAACTCAAGTAGGTCTCAGCCTCATTTTACTAGATGCTAAGAAATAATCTACTAAAAATGGGTTGCAGGCTACTTTGGTTTGAAGGTGGAGTTTCACCAGGGACCTGCTGTCTGCCTAGAATTTCTCTGCCACCTGCCTTTGTCAGAGGAGTCCTTTATTTGATGGTGTTTTTCCCTAAACAAAATCCCCAGGTTGGAGACCATGATCTTTGATATCTTTGTGTCCTGGGAGCTCTCTGTGAAAAGTGTCTTTAACTAATTAAGAATTTTTAGTGAGAAGCTTATAATACATTGGCTATAATGAGAAAAATAGCTGCTACATAGGCTCCTTCATCCAGGTGAATGGGCCTTCTCCTTATTTCAAAGGGGGAAAGCTGATGTTTTCCAAACTGGGTAGAGAATAAGCAAATGTAAGAGCTTTAGGTCAAGGAAGGTTAAAAGTTTTTGTCAGCTTTACCAGTGGATTTTTTTTTTTTTTTTTAAATCACATTTGTGCATTGCAGCAGTCCAGAACACTGAGAGGGATATGCACATGACAATGCCCATTCATCCACTCTTAATCAGCTTTGACGATACAAGATAAAACTTCTATAAACCTTTTATAACCTTACAATATATATACTTTTTTTTTTTTTGGCGGGGGCGGGGAGACAGAGTCTCGCTCTGTCGCCCAGGCTGGAGTACAGTGGTGCCATCTTGGCTCACTGCAACCTCTGCCTCCTGGGTTCAGGTGATTTTCCTGCCTCAGCCTCCTGAGTAGCTGGGATTACAGGAACGCGCCACCATGCCCAGCTAATTTTTTGTATTTTTAGTAGAGATGGGGTTTCACCATGTTGACCAGGATGGTCTCGATCTCTTGACCTCGTGATCCACCCGCCTCGGCCTCCCAAAGTGCTGGGATTACAGGCTTGAGCCACCGTGCCTGGCCTGACACAGCTGCTTTCATTAAACCAACAATTCACCACACATTTCCTCCCCTCACCCTTCTATAACTTGTCTCCATGACACCCCCAAAGCTCTAATTAAACTAGTCTTAATTTACCGAAGATTTATCCAAATCATGTGAAAGTAAAAAATCATAACAAGACTAACATGATTATGAAAAAGATCTTCCAAACTAATAAAAGGTATTTGAGTTAGTTTCTATATTCCTGAGAAAATATTTAAGCACTTTTTCTTTAAGCCAATAATTTGAACTTTTTCATATATTTTGGCAATGAAATATCACATGCATATAACACATATAAACATAGACATACAAACAGAAGCATATCTTTTATCTTTTATAAGATTCTTTATTACCCAGTTTTCAAATAGTCCCTGTCTACTTTAGGTGATCGTCTAAAGTGATAATCCTCATAGATTCTCCACTTAGTGATCGTCTACTTTAGACCCCCAGTCTCTTGATTATCTGTTCTGCTGCCCTAAGTAATTAGCAGCATAGGCAACCCTAAATTTGCACTTTCAAAGCCTTTTAGATGAACCAAAGTAGAAAATTTACATCTAAAAAGCATAGAACTTGTACGTAAACAGAATTATTTGCTGAGACAAAGAAAGGCATAGGTTAAAAACTGGCTCAGATAAAGTTACCAGGAAAATTATTTTAAACAAAGGTACCATTTGTTATGTAAACTGTAAGCCAAAGTCTTCCTCATCCTGAAATTTTCTAATGGTTTAGATCCACCGAGGGAGATGCCCTTACAAATGGAGGTTTTCTTTATAGATGTAGATTTCTTTCGTTTTTTAAAGAGTTTCAGGCCTGGCACTTTAGTTTCAGCAAAGAGTTTCAAAGTAGCCCGCTAAATGTTAGGAAGTTGCATTTTGTCAACTGACTTAGTTTGATAGGCTGTTTCTTTCTTTCTTTCTTTCTTGCCTGCCTGCCTGCCTGCCTGCCTGCCTTCCTTTCTTTTCTTTCTTTCTTTTTCTTTTTTTTTTTTTTTTTTTTTTTTTTTTTTTTTTTTTTTTTTTTTTTTTTTTTTTTTTTTTTTTTTTTTTTTTTTTTTTTTTTTTTTTTTTTTTTTTTTTTTTTTTTTTTTTTTTTTTGAGACAGAGTTTCCCTCTTTTGCCCAGGCCGGAGTACAGTAGTTCTATCTCAGCTAACTG